TGTGGATTTACAGCATCAATGACCTTGAATTGAAACCCATGGGCTGGTGCATGCTCCTGGTAATAAAGTTATGTATGATCATGGTACATTCATTACCAGGCCTGCAAAGGACAAATCAGAGGGCATATCCTATTCACAATAGCCTGTGACATTTTCATGTACAGAGGACACATTTTAATTGTAGCTATATTTAAACACATGTATTGCTCCCATGTGGCATGAAAATAGTTATTCAAATTGTGTGTGTGTGTGTGTAACTGGTCTCAGACATGATGGTGAATCAACCTTAAGCACGACATTTAAGTTTTGAACACTAGCACCTACTCAAATTAAATTCAGATGCCCTCTCTGGTTTTGGCGGTGTATTTGTCATCCAGAAACTCTAAATAGCCTTTCAGAGATTCAAGCAGTCTGAACTAGTGGCATCTCAAACTATTACTAACTGTCAGATATTTTATCCATTCGGGCAGATAGGTGGGCAAAGGTTATGTTTTCGTTGAATTGTTAATGCTGAGTTCTGTCTTTTAAATTGAGATATGAAATGAGGAGAAGAGGAATAAAATCGAAACTTTTCACAGAAATATAGACAGGTCATTTTACCCACCTCTTCACCTTCAGAAAGAATGACATTAAAACATTCTAAACAGATGAGAATTTATACTATTTTTATAGCTTTTAAATGACAGCATTGCACAACCCTGTTCTCACTGCACCATATTTCATTGCAACAATTTGCAGCTAGGAAATTTTTCCTTGCACCAAGCCCAAGGGCTTTGACCAGGTTAATCCCATTTCCTCCTTGCTGGTGTTCAGTTCAGGTGACAACACTATTCTTTGTGAAATTTTCTCACACACTGGGAAACTATAATTAAAGAAATCTTCAGGTTTCTCTATTCCAAACCAAATAACCTCCTTTCATACCTTCCTCTTACATTGTTTTAAAATGTAGTCACCTTCATGGCCATCTTCTCTTAACTGCAGAATTTTCAAACTTGCCTGCACAATGGAATCACTTGGAGAGCTTCCAACACTACTGATGCCTATATCCTACACCCAAAAATTGTGATGTAATTATCTGGGATATGTCCTGAACTTTGGAATTTGTGATTCGAACTTGCAGAGAAGTTTGGGAAAGCTTTGACAATAGGAATGCCCAGATACCACCAACCAATAAAATCAGAACATCTGGGATGGGACCCTGGAAACCTGTTCCTTCACAATTGCTCTCTAGCTGTTTATATTGCCACAGCAAGGTTGGGAGCTATTTTCCTAGGACCAACAGAATTAGCATGAAGGTGGGAATTAAAAAATATATATTAAAGTAATATATGAGATTATATAGGTTTATGAGATTATATAGGTTTCAGGTGTAAAACATTGCAGCTCAACATCTGCACATTATGTTCATCACCCAAAGACTAGTTTCCATTTCTCACCATACATTTGGAGGGTCTTCACCAACCCTCCTTCTCTTCTCGTAGCCATTATTATTTTTTTCTTATAATCTAGGTTTGCTTTTTCTTTTTAAAGTTCTTTTTTTTAAGATGTATTCATTTATGCATACAAGAGCTGGGGTACAGGCCAGAGGAGTGGGGGATGAGGAGAGGATTCACCAGAGACAGAGTGGGGAGCAGAACAGGCAGATTGACCAAAGTACACTGCTAAGGGGAGCAGTGGGCAAGACAGGAGAGGTCTGCTGCGCCATGTGGATTTCTCCCTGGCTGGGGATTGAACTCGTGCTGCAGAGGCTGCGGACAGCTTCATAAGTTGTGTCTTAACCCCTTGTGCCACCAGGGAAGCCCTTAAAGTGGTTTTTTTTTTTTAAAGATTTATTCATACAAGAACTGGGGTACAGGCCAGAGGTGCGGGGGGTGAGACAGAGTGGGATACAGAACAGGTGGATAGACTGAAACACACTGCTGAGGGGAGCAGCTGGTGAGACAGGAGTGGTCTGCTGGGCCATATGGGTTAGCTCCCTGGCTGGAGATGGAACACTCACTTGAGTGGCTGCGGATAGCTTCCATAGTGCTGAGATCTAACCCTTTGCGCCACCAGGAAGGCCCTAGGTTTGCTTTTGTTCTGTTTGTTCACTCCTTTTGTTACATTATCTTCCATATAGGAGTGAAATCATAAAGTGTTTGTCTTTCTCCTCCATCTGCTTTATTTCACTTAGCACAATACTTTCTAAATTCATTCATGTTGCAAATGGCAAGATAACATTTTTTTAAAGTTGAGCAATAGTCCCAACTATTCTTTTTCTATTTACTTGCGATAAGCACGTAGGTTGTTTCCAACTCTAGGTTATTGTGAATAATGCTGCAGTGAACATGAGGGTGCAAATACGTCCTCAAATTAATATTTTTGAATTCTTCAGGTAAACATAATTAGGATTTTTTTTTTAAAAAGACTTATTTATGCATGCAAGAACTGGGGTATAGCCCAGAGGTGGGGGCAGAGGGACGTGAGAGGATTCACCAGAGACAGAGTAGGGACTGAGCAAACAGATCTACTGAAATACCTGCTGAGGGGAGGAATGGTTGAGACAGGAGAGGTCTGCTGTGCCATGTGGGTCAGCTTCCTGGCTGGGGATTAAACTCATGCTGCAGTGGCTGGCAATAGCTTGATAGTGCTGTGTCCTTAGCCCCCTGAGGCACCAGGGAGGCCCACAGTTGGGATCCTAAAGTAACATAGATCCTCAGGTCCCAGTCCTGACCCACCGAATGAGAGTCTTTGAGGGCAAAGCCCCCCAAATCCGTGGTCTAATAAACACTCCAGATGATTTTAGTACTTAATACAGTTTGGAAAGTAGATTCTGGGAGCATGTACTGTTGTGAGAGCAGAAGGCAATGGTACTTCTGCTTCTTTTTCCCTCCACTCTTAAAGGTAGGTGACCCTGGAACCACAGTTGCCATATGAGGGTCGTGAGGCAAACAGACCTAAGGAAAATCCAAGAGAATCACAGAGGGGCTGCCCCTGATGTCAGTGTGCTACTGACCAGCACTAGCAGTGCCCGACCTTCAGGCTTCTATTTGTGGAAAAGTAAGCCCCTACTCATCTATCCTACATGTCAGTAGGATTTGGTGTGCTTGAAGCTGAACACAATCCTAACTCATACAGAATCCAATCTTTGAGTACTTTTTACATAGAGAAAACTCAGAAGTGAACCCAATGCTTGAAAATAATCATGCTAAATTTAAGGGAAGGTCCCCAATTATAGTATTCTAATTACTACATCAGAATTACCTGAGGGGGCTTATTTAAAGTGATTCCTGAACTTCATACCTCATACCTTAGACTCTTCCAGATTTGGACTGGGAGAAACTATCTAACTTAGCAAAGTCATTATTATTCATCCCTGGCATCCTACTGCAGGCTAGCACTAGGCTGAGGCCAGTGAAGAGCCCTAGGTACAAAATTTAAGGAGGTGCTCACCCTTTGGATTGTGCAAGTGCAGAGTCCTCATTTGGCTTCACCCTTTTCTCTGCCATGATTCAGATGGGATAAAATTAACAGGTGATGCCTCTTATTAATGGGAACACCCCACTCAAATGATCTTTCACGTAAAACAATTCTTCAGGGTTGGTTCCAGCACTGGAAAGACATATTTACCTATAAATGATGCCATGTACAGTTGAATTTCAATTTGGATATGCATCTTAGTGTCAAATGACATCAATTCCCTTTTGAGTTGAAAGGGAAACTATTATAGCCCTGATTGTCTTGGTTCCTGTTCACAGTGAACACAGGAATATGACAGCAAAATGTAGCATCGGGAGTCAGTGGGTGTCAGATATGAACATGGTGATGACTGGGATCCTCATGTGACTACTGAGCACTCAGATCTTGGTTACTGGAATTACAAGTGGAAATGCGTAGTTGTTTGTAAAAATGTGTTAAGCTTGGCTATTCCTGTTTCCCAACAACATTTTAGGACACATATATGCTGCAGTCTCCCAGAAATAGAAGTGTGGGTAACTTAACCCAAAGTCGTGGTTACTGTGTTCTGCCTGGGTGAATGGTATGTCAGCAGAATGAGTGAGTCAGCACAATGAATGATGATGAGACTCGAGGACTGACGTTCTGGAACTTACTGAGAATGCCTAATGAAGGTGGGCAGGAGGTAGAGGGGTTGGTGTGGCAGACACAGGGAAGCTGGCACACAGCTTTGGCTGAAGCAGCCCATAGGCTGCGAAGAGCTTAGATATACATTTCACTCCAAATTTCACAATTCAGGCTTTTTCACTTCATATTTTGTGATTCTGGCTTTCAGTCTTCTAGGTGTAGTACTGATGGGAACAGCTGGTGGCCTGTAGCAAGAGGTCAACCACAAACATGTGAACTGTAGAAGAATCCTCTTATCACACCCTCCCTTGAGCTAGAGAGGCAACATTAGAGAACCTCTCATCTCATTGTGACTGGTAGGCACCCAGCACTCATCAGGCAAATATTTAACAAGTAGTTGCTAAAAATAATGACCACTTTTTCCTGCCTGATGTGTGCTGGGGACTCTACCAGGTTCCTCCATCTGTAACTGCCTCGGACTTATGACAGCAAAACTCTGTCCTGTATTTTACTGTGGGCAGGGGAATGTCGTAATCCTTCCCATGAACTGCGTATTGAGCGTTATCTTGAGGCTGCTTCCCTCCTTCGCTTTCTGGCAGCTTTTTAAGGTGGCACGAAGCAGGAACTAGAAAACCACAGCTGGATTAAATCAACACCCAAATGTGTCAGGGTTTGGAGGGAACCCAAAATGTGTTTGCTGCCTGGATGATTGAGAACCACACCTGGTATCCAAGTGCAACAGAGACCTGCCAGTGCAACCAGGCAAGGCTGCAAGCTCACTGGAAACTGCTCCTAGTACAAGGAGCTCCCGGTGACTCTGCCTGCAAAGTCACACTCATTTAAACAGAAAGGTCAGATGTTTTTACAGGATGTAGCCTAACATTTGAAGGAAAGAAATGACATGTCTTGAATTTGTTTTAAAATAGTTAATTTTGCGCACGCTTTGGCAGCTGATATACTAAATTGGAATGATATAGAGAATATTAGCATGGCTCCTGTGCCAGGATGACACATAAATTCATGAAGCATTCCATAGTAAAAAACAAACAAAAAAAAAAAACTTTAAGAATTTTAGCAAAGAATAAAGAAAAACAATAAAGAGGGCTAGATAGAATAAGTCTGACAAAATAATGGACACTGTTGACTCTGGATGTTAGGAAAATAGGGATATACAAAATATAAAATTTTGTGAATTTGAAGTGTTATAATTAAATATCTGTTTAAAGAGTTGAGTTGATCATTATGAAGCCTGTTACCCTTTCAGTAAGTCAGTGTTTGTCTTTGCATACCATTTCTTTAACATAATAGCAAGCAATAAGGAGCCAGAATTCTGTGGCACTGATTTGGACTATCCTTCCTACCCACTCCTATCCACCATCTGGTTGGGTTCAGGACCCTTATTTTCAGTGAAAAGATAGCAGGACTGGAGCTCAAGAAATCTGGGTGCTAGTTGGTCTGTTCATTGGCTGTGAGATCTCAGACAAGTCACTGCCTGCTCTGCAGCTTCTTGCCTCCTTCTTGCCTTGTCACCTAGGGATGGCCCTGTAAGGACACGCACCACACGGGTCACTGGGGCACATGTGAAATAAGGACACAGTGAAGTATTAACATCAATAGTATGAACTTGGACCATGGGGCCACATGCCCTGGCCCCCAAGACCTCATTCATAAGCTGAGGGAGGTGACATGAACATTCCCAAGACTGTGAGAATCATCCAGGAGGTGAGTTAAAATTCAGATTCTGGGCTACACCTGACCCACTGAATTCAGATTTCTAAGGGTGGGATCTGGGAAAGCTACACAACTGATTGTGCATTGCAACCTAAGCAGGAGCAACTGAATTAAATAATGGCAGCGATTCTTTCATCCTCTAATAGTGAAACTGCCTGGGGGGCTGGGGGTCTATTGTGCCCAGCTATTTTAATGGTTATGTACAAGTCTCAGATATGGGGTAATTTCCAGGTGGTTAACATTTGAAGAGAACCAGAATAAAGGAGGAAGAGGGAGTCTGAACTAGTCCGGTGAACCAAAGTCTTTTAGTCACAGGTGAACATATTAGGAGAGTGGAAGGGCCCACTTTGGGCTCAAGCACCGAGTATATAAAAATGGTGACCTTGAAGAGCTTAGAGCAGGAAAGGTAATTGTCTCAAGAGAGAGCAGCGGGCCTCCCTGATGGCGCAAGTGGTTAAGCACCACACTATGAAGCCAATCGCAGCCTCTGCAGCATGAGTTTGATCCAAGGCAGGCTGGGGAGCAACCCACATGGCCAAGTAGACCTCACCTTTCTCTCCCACTGCTCCCCTCAGCAATGTATTTCAGTTCTGCTCCCCACTCTGTCTTTGGTGAATCCTCTCACCCCCGGTGTCTCTGCCCTGTACCCCAGCTCTTATATGCATAAATAAATAAATCTTTAAAAATATAAATTTAGGGCCTCCCCTGGTGGCTCAGCTGTTGCGCGCTGGGCTGCGAAGCTGCCCATAGCCTCTGTAGCGCCGGTTTGATCCCCCCGGCCACTGGCGAGGGGCCCACATGGCACGCAGACCTCTCCTGCTGCCCACTGCTCCCCTCAGCAGTGTACTTCGTCAGTCTGCTCTGCTCTGCCCTGGCTCTGGTGAATTCTCTCACCCTCCCGTGCTTCTGACTGTACCCAGTGCTTGTGTAAATAAATAAATAAATCTTAAAAAATATATATATATATATATATAAATTTAAAAAAGAGAGCGAGCAGCACCCATAACTTCCACAGTCTAGGGAACCCTCAGGGTGGCTAGTCCAGAAAGCCAAGACACTTGTGGAGGGTGACCTTGGCGTCCTGTGCCTCCCAGACTGCAGGCCCTGGTGATTGGCTGCCCACCACCCCATCCATCTCATTGGCTGCTTCTCTGCTTCTCCTTGCAGTACACTGCAGCATTGGGCATCCTCACCCACTAGCTGCTCTATAATTTTCAATCGATAGATTCGAGCCATTCTCATTTAAGGTGACAATTGAGCCATAAGTGCTTACTCTCACTTTACTATTTTTTTTTTCAATTTACTTTATCTTTTTATTTTTTGACATCTTCCTTTCATGTTTTGTTTAGGTTCCATTCTGTTGTCTTCTGTGTGACTCCTATTGATTTTTGTTTGAAGGTTATAGTATTGATTTTCGCTTGAAGGTTGTCCCGAGGTTTGCGCTCTATGGTTTATACTTGTGGCCCTTTGGACAATTTGATCTGATGGCCACATTTTCACGCTCCTCCTCCATATACTGTATAGGTGTCTGTTCCCTTTAAATCCATTTTGTTGCTGCTTAATAATATCCCCTTCAGTACTTTTTTCAAGTTTGGTATAATTTTGATTTGTTTTTTAATTTTTGTTTTCAGTGAAGTCCTGTATCCTATCTGCTGTTATGATAGTCTGACAGAACAAAGTATTCTAAGATGGAAATTTTTTTATTAGTTCTTTAAATATCTCCTGTCATTCCCTGCTGCCTATAGTTTTTCCATTGAGAAGTCCACAGATGGCCCAAGACCTGTTCCCTTATAGGTCACTCTTCTTTCTCTTGATGCTTTTAGGATTCATTCCTTGTCATCAGCTTTCAACAGCTTAACTGTACTATGTCTTGGAGTATGTCTGTGGTATTATTTTGCTTGGGAGTGTTCAGGTCTTTTGGATCAGGATATCTGACTTGGTTTCTGGATGGAGATAGATCTCAGCAATTACTATTTTTAAAAAAGATTTATTTATTTATGCATATAAGAACTGGGGTACAGGTGAGAGGTGCAGGGGATGGGGTGAGAGGATTCACCAGAGACAGAGTGGGGAACAGAACAGGCAGATCTACTGAAGTACACTGCTGAGGAGAGCAGCGGGCAAGTCAGGAGATATTTGCTGCGCCATGTGGGTAGCTCCCTGGCCAGGGATCGAACTTGTGTTGCAGAGGCTGCGAATAGCTTCATAGGTTGTGTCTTAATCCCTTGCGCCACCAGGGAGGCCCTCAGTAATTACTTTTTAAAATAAATCTCCCATGTCTTTGTCTTCTTTTCTCTTTCCCCGTGATATGTATATGATTTCCCAAAGAGTTCTCCCACTTTTCATTTTTTTTAATTATTTTTTCTCTTTCTTGTTCTACATGTATGCTCTTCAGCACTGTACATTCAGGTTCAGATTTTCTCCATTACTTGTGTTTGCTTAGTGTTGAGTCTCTACGGTATTTTTAAATTCAATTATAGTACTTTTTAGATCCATTCATTTTTATTGTAACAGTCTCATGTTTTGTGTGTTGTTTTTGCAGTCCTAATTTTTCTTAATTTTTCAAAAAGATTTATTTATGCATACAAGCACTGGGGTGTAGGCCAGAGGTGTGGGGAGTGAGAAGATTCACCAGAGACAGAGTGGGGAGCAGAACAAGCAGATCTACTGAAATATACTGCTGAGGGGAGCAGTGGGAGAGACAGGAGAGGTCTGCTGCGCCATGTGGGTTGCTCCCTAGCCAGGGATCGAATTTGGTTGTGATAGCTTCATAGTGCTGAGACTTAACCCCTGGTGCTATCGGCGGCTGGGGATTGAACCGGTGCTGCAGAGGCTGTGGGCAAGCTTCACTGCGCCACCAGGGGAGGCCCAATTTTTCCTCTTTACCTTTCTAAGAAGGAGGGTTACCTTGGGGCTCTTGCTCCCTTTGTTAAGATCCAGGTGCTTCAGACTCCAGATAATGACAATATGTAGTTGTTATCTTGGCGTTGGCCTGAGTGTGGGTAAAGCAGGTGTGCATATCACAGTACAGGCTGCAAATAAAGCCTCGTCTGTAAGGAGACACAGGTGACTGAGCTGCCTCTCTCCCACCAGCTTGTGCTTCCAATTGTTTTTCATTTTGGAGAGAAGTTCAAAGCAATAATCACCATTCTATACCCTACTCCCATCATTCTCAGTAGTGCACCCTCTGCCTCGCATGCCACCTCTGCGCACCCCCTTTTCCAGTACATTCCCAGGTTTTACAGTCGCTGATGTGGGCATGTGCCCTCGAGTTACTGTAGGGTAATTGGAAGTTGTCAGGTTTTATCAGCCCTCCAGTAATTAGCATCTGTGATCAACACCTGTGGTCTTACACGCATGTCCGATGGCAGCACCTGGAGTATGGTGTGGGCATGCTTGAGTGCGTGGGCGCACTGGAGCTGAGAAACTGAGAATATAAGGGTGGCGGCAGCAGAGAAGAGTTCAGTAGAGACCAGTGAAGAGACCACAAGAGAGCACCAGAGAGCCCAGAAAGAGTGAAGAGTTGCCTCCTGCCCCCCAGGCCTCACTGCCTACCCTGCCTGCCCTGTACCTGGTTGCCTCACTACAAATGGTATAGAAAGATCATTAAGGGCCTCCCTGGTGGTGCAAGGGGTTCAGACGCAACCTATGAAGTTATCTGCAGCCACTGCAGCATGAGTTCGATCCCCAGCCAGGGAGCTAACCCACAGCAGACCTCTCCTGGCTCGCCCACTGAGAGTATTTCAGTGTATTTCAGTGTATTTCAGTCAATCTGCCTGTTCTGCTCCCCACTCTGTCTCTGGTGAATCCTCTCACCCCCCGCACCTCTGGCCTGTACCCCAGTTCTTGTATGCATGAATAAATTTTTTTTTTAAAATAAAGATCATTAAAAGCCTGAAACAGCCACTGAGGGTTCCAGGACTCTTTTACACGTCTGCCCGAATCAATAGAGAACCTGCCCTGTGCCTTGCTGGCACTTAAGTTCCCAACAGCAGGGAGGCTCAGAATGACAGAGGCTCCTTCCTCTCAGGGGTCTTAACTCTGCATCACTCCAAACTCAGTTTAATTGAAGTTTTTCCTACCTCTTTCCTCTGAGCCAGACCTCTTGATGCATTCAACAGTCATCAGGTTGTCATTTGGGGTTGTGTATTTACTTTGGTGTAATTTGGTCGTAAATCTGGAGGAGGTAAGCCCATCATCTACACTCTGCTGTCACCTTACTCTCTAAATTCCAGCCCTTCCAATTTTCTGTTGGGCATCTTGATGCTAACCCATATTTTGTATATTTAAAAACTTCTTCCGCCTATTC